ATTCGGTGGTTAACACTTTACGAATGGCTATCGATAGGCAACGCTCAGGACAGGGAAGTAGAATGGAGCAGTTTTAATGTCTTCATTCACAGTCAGCTCTACCACCATCAAAAAAGAACGGATCAACCAGTTAGCCAGTAGAATAACTGGATGTGAGAGGCAACAGTGCAGGTCAAACCTGTGCCAAAAATGTCACAAAAATCCAAACTTCCACCGACGCCATGAGCACATTGGAGAGGATTGCCGTGTTCAGTAGCTTTGCACGACCTGTGCAGCACCTTCCACGCAGACTAACCCATCAGAGGCTGTGGAACACAACCCCCTTGTATATTCCACTCTTGTCCTTTCTATTTTCTCAAAAACAAGGCGAAACATTTTCACCTCTTCCCCTCATTATAGAAGCGAAGGCGACTGTTAAACTGATGGATAAGCAATTTTCGGCGTCCTAATGACGCCATTAACACGTCATTTTGCGATGAAAAGTAAGTGCTTCAAGTGACAAGTGACACGTTTCTTTTGGGATTTAATCTGCTGTGCAGGCTGCTGAGGAGCATTAACTGAGATCACGCGATGTAAACAGAACCTATTTACAGCGTCTGAAAAATATAAATAAAAAAGCAGGAGCTAAAATAAGGCCAAATTTTAGCAATGATAATATAGAACTTCAGGAAAAGTATATTTTAGCCATAGAAGGTGCGATAGCAGTAAACATGCAAAGCCATTAGGAGAATTCGAATGAAACATGAAGATAACAGCAACCCAGGCTGAGCTGAGTTGGTGTTTGAAATAGCCCACTGGATCCACAATAGTAGGTGAGGCAGATTCCCGGCCAAAAATTGTTTAAAGAGACGAAATAACGGGTGAATTGTTTAAGAGAAGGATGGATGAGCACGGTGCAAATGAATAGATAGAGGAGTAACTCCGACATCAATAAACATACACCCTTATTTATCAGAGTCGTGGACAGAAAGGAGCAGTTACTTCTCCAAGGCCTCACAGGAGCCGAAGCGAAACAACGGAAAGAATGTTTGTAGTCCCTATGACTGAAAGCAAGGCACTGATTACCAGAGGTAGAATATAAGAAGGAAACGCGGTAGCAAAAGATTGAAAGGGCATTTCTCGCGGAAATGCGAGACCGGGAAATGGATTCGAAAATAGTGCCATCAGCGATTCCACAGAGAAGGGCGAAAAGTTGACCCCATTTGTCTAGCTCTTTACTTTCATCCATGCGGCAAGGGTGGGGAAAGAACGAAGTCATGGAGACCGACAAATGCGTATGAGAAGGCAAAAGGACTACGGTACTCGTTGGCGTCTACGAAATAATCCACTAGTGTACTGATGATGCTCCCAATTTTTGTGCCAAATAGTCAATGATGACCTCATCTATGCTGACGTGATCAAGCAGGTGAGAATGTGAAACATGTCTTGGGTTGTAAAAGGTTGTTAAAAGTTATTTTGACGTTTGAGTGAGTCGCATTACTTCAACTGACATACATGCACGCATGCACGTACTTACGCACACACCCAAGTCCTAAGGTCAGCCGATCGATGAAGCGCTATCGATCAATAGATTGATCGAGTCAGATCAATGCTTTGTGCGAGTGGCAATTCAGGTAGTGGCCACTCTCCTCCAGGGCACCCCGACAGTTAACAAAAGTAGTAAACTCAAACCCATGAGCCCATATTTCAGATTTTTAGCAAAAAGAAAGCAATTGAAGAAGTAAGAGCAACCACACCAGCTTTAAAATTCAGCTACCACAAGATTTTGGATTCACACCTGATCTCTAAAGCAACCCTATGACTGTTTCCCCATTAATCCTCGTTGTTTTCCCATTTTGCTTGTTTAGTAATAACTTCTCCAAAGGCATCCCAATAATTTTGAATAGGGCGTTGCTTACCCAAAGAAGGTCCGGGCTACAAGTATGGCCCATAGGCCACACCGCTCGAAGTCCTAGCAACCTCTTATCAAAACACTGAAGGTTAAATACACAACTGACGTATTATGAACACTGAACTTCATTTGCCTTCTTGACCTCGAATGATCTATTTGGGAGGTCTCACACTCCTCCCCTCTCCTCCCCAAACCTTCCGTAAGAGGTAAGAGGAGACTACCCGAAATCCAATGGTCAACAACTATTTTGAGTCTGCGACAAGAAGGTCGCGCAATATTACCACCATTTTTTTCGAAGAGGTTTATCAAACTTGGACTGCATTTTAGTGCCTCCAACTTTTCGCACTACTTCCTGCTCTCCCCTTTTTGCCTCCTTTCGACCTTTTACGAAGATCACATGAATGTGACAGCAACCCCAGAAGGGAAATTAATCACCATTCTCCAATTTTTCCACCATACTTTGCTAAAGTAAAAGCAGTTTGGCGCAAATGGCACAAATTAGCGTCACCTTGTCAGTGTGCGAGCGCGGACGCGTGCACGCATACTGAAAACACCACACAAAGCCGAGGATCGAAACAAAAAGTACATTTTCGAGAAAAAAACCTATGCATCCTCTCTGACCTTTTAAGAAAAAGAAAAAATAAGTTGTTCTCCTTGCGTTTGTACAAATTTTGTACTGCACTGTATTGGCGTCAACTTTTCGGATCGAGGTGGCGTCATGATTCGTCACCCGTTGCCGCGATTCAGAAAGATGGATAGAATAACAGCAAGGAGAGAGATGTTTAGCTAAACTGGTTCAGTGTGAATGGCTGAACAGATGGATTGACGAAGACTAAATGAATGAGCTGATGGATGGTGGAAAAATCAGAACCCAACCGCAGCTGTAACCGATACAGCACCCCTCCTAATGACGCAATCCATCAAATCCCCTTCCTTCCATCTATGATCCACAGGGAGACCTTTCACACTACTAAGATTTGTCATCATATTGGCGCCCTGTAACCCGTTGACCCTTGCGTGCATCAGTGACAAAACGCGACACCATGTCAAAAGACCGTGCTACGATGTTGGGGAAACTCGACAAGATTCTTAGCGCTGTCGACCGAATGCACAATGATGCAATGGTAGAAGAAAGACCAAAATATCGACTTCCAAGAAGCTGCTCATCATTATTGTTGAATAGAGCGGCATCGCAGTTTGGAATATAATCGAACTTGAACACCTGACGGTGCAAGTCGCCTCCAAAACGCGTCGTCCATGCCAACCACAAAGGCCAAAGAACAACGCCATTGTCAAGGGTGATTGCGTTGTGGAGCCGAAATCACCCATTCCGTCTCGTGGGTTGACAAACCTTCAGCACGCACCAGTGCCTTCAAGGAAGTACGCGAAGGAAACGGCGTTTAATTAAACAACAAGAACGAATAAAAAGAAGTACAAAATTTTTATAAAAATTTATTATTGATATAGATATATAGGTGGATAGGAAGATAGGTAGGTGGAGATAGGGAGTGATAAAGACACACGCACATGCACACATACAGACACACAAAAGAGAGGGCTGTAGATGGATGGAAGATGGGGGAGGGGGATTTGTTGGTCTGTGCAAGTGTGCAATGGAAAGGAGAGGGGAGGGAGAGGGTAGGAAAGAAGGAGGGCAACATGAGCAGTCATATCTCTCTAGAACATCGTGATAGGGAGGGTGGGATTGCAACTAATCAACCCGCAACAGTTAGAACGCGCCAACTCAATTATCTGTATCACAGCCCACCATCACCACCGTCTCCGACTTCTGAACGTGACACTTTTGCTTCCGCTACAATGGGTGCCTCATGAGAGCCTTCCGAGTCCCAGCGTCGTTTCCTTTGACCCAATCTAGCCTCCATTGAAGCCAGCATTGAGACGTTCCCGGTATCCACAATCAGTTGACCTGGTCGTGTATGAGGAGGAAGAACGTGCACCCAAGACTCGTTAAAACCGTCTCCCCAGGCGTTTAGATCGTCCTCAGGAGGCACGGTTCGTAAGTAGGACTCCGTGTAGGGCCAAAGGAGGTAGCCAGAGTCACCTCCTTCCACTACGCCTTCATGCACGTCGCGATACTGCACGTGAAAGTGAATGCCCCTTCGATGGAACTTGTACACTGCGCGGTAGGCGGCTAAGAAGGCCTCGTACCGACTTCTGCCGTCTTCGCCATCAAAAAATGTGGGGGAGCCGAAAGTATTGGAGGGAGGTTGGGGGTCAGTTAGAGACACCTCAACGGTGGGATCCAGGGCTCCCTGAGGTGCCCAGGCAATGTCTGTCAGGAGGCTCCATTCCGCGCCTTCATCCGAGTGGAACAGACGCGGGCGAAGAGGAAACTTCAGAGAAGTGGAATCGACTGGGGCACTGCGACGATGAAAAGAGCTGGAAAAAAAGCATGGAAGTTTCAATTCAACAGAAGTGAAGACAATGAAAGCATAAATGATAAAGACCTACTCAGTGAGAGAAATGACCTCTCTGAAGCGTTGTTCAAAGGCCGAGTTTGTCTCCTCCATTGCACATTCACTGCGATCTACGGAATAGTCGCGTGAGATCATCACATGCACGGAGTTGGCGTTCTGCCACAAGGCCTGTTCCAAAGCCTCATTGTAGGGTCCAAAAGGTCTGGCAACAACAACACAAATAATAAAAATAATAAAGGGGATAAGATCAACGGAAGATTTCCCCCGAGAAGGCAATACCCAACAGTAGTGACCAGATTATCCTGGTGAAACCAGAGCCATGGAATAGACCAGAGCCTGCCACGGACGAAGTAAAAGATCCCTAGAGGCTTTGTGATGAGGTATCCACAAAAGAATTATCCAATTTCCTAAATTGTTTTCCCAATGATGTACCGTGGAAGTTGGATGCAGTGGGGCAAACGAGAGTGAAGTTTTCAATTAGGTTGCAATGGAGACGAAAGTACCAGAACCGTTCCTGAGAAGACTTGATCTTTAAAGACAGGCGAATTTCCCTTCTCATGCGGTACACTTCGACACATTCGTATTGTCTACAAGACGCTTGAGGAAACAAATTCGATGTTTGACGATCTAGCTTCTGACAACTTCTCCGCATAAGTGTCAAAACTGCCTCCCAAAGCAATAGTTTTTTGATAAAGGCCGAGAGCTG